ATTTCAAATGGCTTGTAAAATGATTATTGAAAGTTAAAAAGATTTTAATTTAGTTCTGTTCTCTTATTCCATTCAACAGAGGCAAGGATCCGGAGCAGCCGGTGGCAACAGCAAAACCTCTGGGGCACAAGGTACTGAGAAAAAATTCCACACCAGAACTCGAACACATCACAGACCTTTAATCATTTTACGGCAGCTTTTACAGTGAATACAAATAGTATGTCTCAGGAATTCTTTTTCGTGGATGAGAGAAGATTCATCATGCTGTTGAGTTTACCCCAAACAACCTTAAGCGTACCGAAAAGCCCAGTATCCCATCTGAAATCTTCCGGCATAAGCATTTTAAAGTATTCCCTGAAGTGTCCCACCAAACAAAAATGTTCTGCGCTGTGCTCACTGAAGGAAGAATGAGTCTGCTAAGCATTTTAAAAATGTGTGCCTGCGTATGAAAAAAAGGCTGAAGAAGGAGGTAAAAAATGAAAAGGGTTGAAGTAATGAACACGGTCCCCAGTGTTTTAGCTGCATGCTCCTATGAAAAGGCCAACTAAATGGATCTGAACCCACAAATTGGCCCATACATCTTAAATCAGACTTCAAAGACTTGAGGGTTTTTGTGTTGTTGGTTTTCTTCCTGATGAAGTCATGCTCTTGAGGTCACTGAAGCCCTGGGGAGAGCTGGGTACAGAGCTTATTGGACAAGGTGTAAGAACTGCATCTCAAAGGATGCTGATTTCACTGAAGCTTGAATCTTCACGGAATTGCATGGTTTTATGCTTTAGACACGGGAAACATAAATATAGTGCAGTGCTACCACCAACTCTTTTACTGTAATATTAGGCATGATATACTACATACAGAGCTCAAAAGCTACTGCTAAATCCAAATAAATATTCAATGGCCCCAAAAAGTATTTGGATACTTAAAAATAGTTGATCTAAAAAAGTGATTTTTTTTTTTTTTTTCCTGAAAATTTACTCACTCTTGGGCAATGCAAGATGTAGATGAGTTTGTTTCATCATCAGAACAGATTTGGAGAAATGTAGCATTACATCACTTGCTCACCAGTGGATCCTCTGCAGTGAATGGGTGCCGTCAGAATGAGAGTCCAAACAGCTGATAAAAACATCTCAATGATCTATGAGTAATCCACACACAATTCCAGTCCATCAGTTAACATCTTGTGAAGCAACAAGCTGTGCGTTTGTAAGAAACAAATCCATCATTAAAAGTGTTTTAACTTCGAACCGTTGCTTCTGGCCAAAATATCAGTCCAACGCTTCCTTTAATGAAAAAAATCCATTCCCTGTTGTCCTCTCACACCAAATTCAACTGACATATTTGTTTAGAACGGTTTTGTCCTGCTTCTGCTTGTAAAGGGTGCTTGATCTGTGCATATAATATACATTATACATTTAATTATCTACATGTACTTACTATAGGGTTAGGGTTAGGATTAGTGTTACTTGCATGTAATTATGCATAATTAATTGTTATTATAATAGTAAGTACATGTAACGTGTGACAAGGACACCTTAAAATAAAGTGTTACTAAATGTTCTTGCATAGATACAAAATATCAAATCAAACAAACAAATGATGCTAAGCTTTTGCAAGAATTAATTTCTCAGCAACCAATTCAATACAACGAACACTGCTGGAAAGTTGCTTTCCCTGCACTGAATATCCTGCAGTACAGGAGCTCGTAATATTTCTTGGAGGATGGGAAGAAAATACTATTGAAGCTATTGATGTGCTTCCACCCACTCATGTGCAAGAGCAAGGACGTTCATACACACAACTACAGATTCATTTGCATGCAAATGCATCTATTCATCCTGCTTGCCTTTGTGAAGAAAGTCATGCAGGGAAGCTATACAGGCGTATACAGCCAGTGACAGCATGTAATGCTGGTCTAAAAAGAAAATGCATGTATTAAGAGAGAAGGCATGTTAATACCAAAAGGAACTGAAAATATATTATACAAAATAAATGAGTTTCTTAAGAATCATTAAACTGGGGAGTTACATGTGATGTCTTCATAAGTCCATATGCACAGTGAAGATTTTTACCAGTGAGTTTGTGGTTTATTGTGGCCATTTGTAAAAGTACAAAATGCAACATTAAGTCCTAGCTAGTCCTGAGGCATTGAACTTGAAGTTGCTCATGGAGGATAATTGTTTTGGTAATTACGTGAATTGGGTTTCGTCTCAACCGAATGATGATGTCTGTTATTTCTCGTCAGTATGTATTGCACAAAAAATTATGTAAAAAAATAGTTATTACTGTATATAGAAGAAGGTTTCTAACTCAGTTGATGTGTGTAAACAAATATAGGAAAACGGTGAGAAAATCTCTCATGTATTGACTGAAACATGAGGCCTGCTCTTAAAGGATCTTTCCTTTCTCGCTGTGCTTAACGACTATGTCAAGGCTTTCCTCTTCCTTGCTTAAATTGCTATTGAATTTTCCAACAGTCTAATGTGTTGTTTCATGTCAGAGATATTCGCTATTGAGCATTGATTTCTTACCAAAACAACACATAACCTTCACATCTTGTACTTTCATGAATAGTGCTTGAAACTCTTTTACAATCACGCTGTACAAAAAAAAATATGTGCAGTTTTATTTTGCATTTACTTTATATGAGGTTAGCATTTTCAATCTTGAATCAAGACGTGATTTTAAAACCCTAATTTATGATGAATTAATTTATTTCAAATTAAAATTTATGTATTATTGAAATCCTGGAGTAATAAAATAAAGGATGTAATAAAAAAGACACCATTCATACCTTAATAGGTAGTAGTTTAGCACCAAATATTGGTTAGTAGTTACTGATAAAAATTTTTATTACAATAGCAAGGCTGAATGGATTAGTTGGATGCAGTCAACACAACAATCTATATAGAATTTAGGGAGATTATTTTGCTTCTCTTTCCACCATGCTTTAGAAACGTTCAAAACAGAATGACTTTCTGAGAGTCACAAGTTTATGAAACATTTCAGAAGGAGGAAAATCATGTAGGTTGAGTGCAAAATTATTTTTTTAGACAATAGTTTTTTCCTCCACCTACATTTATGCAAAAATTTTACTATAAATACAGTTACCTGGAGATTCCAGCTGAAAGGAGCACTAGTGGTAGTAATGCACCAACAACCTTTATTCCTTTTCACACAAATGATGATTATAGTGATTAATAGATTATCACTCTAATCAGATTGACAGATTTATTTTCACATTTCTTTGCATAATAGTATTTTATGACCTCAAAACACTTTTACTATAGTGCATGATTTGTGAACTAATACATTTTTGATGTTTGCATCGCTGGCTTTTCTGACTTTGTAAACTTGCTCAGTAGTGCACCTGGTACAGCACTACACTTAATGCAGAACACTCCTGTACAAGAACCAACCGTAACATAATAAAACTGTTCAAGATTGATGTTAATCTGTTCCAGATCAAACTAAACACGCATTTAGCATGTCATGAAACGTGCAAGAAGTGACATTAATATTTTTTGCAGAAATGTTGACACAGGCATGTCTTTCCAATGATTCTGGGTTGCATACTGTAATTGTCTCTCCAAATCAATATGAGCTGTTTACCTTATTTGATTCAAGTAATGTTATGGTGCGTTCAAGTCATGTCGGATAGATCGTATTCACGAGTTGAACGCACATTAACGCCACCACAAAGTCGTTATTACGAGTGGGAAACTCGAAATTTTCTTTAAGCCCCGAGTTTCCGAGTTGGGGGCGTGTCAATGAGAAACATGGCGGAATCGATGGATGCAGCGTCTGTAGTTGATGGTAAATTTTTGTTTAAATTGATAGTTTAGTTGTCCTATAAACTTAAATTGGTCATGTTATTGCTACGCAGCTAGTTAATGAAATCCAAGTAAAAAAATGCAGACCCTGTTGTATTTTCTTGTAATTTATTAAAAGAAGGTACACCGCCATCTTGTGCCGACTAAACTGACTTGAACGCACCTGACGTCATAATTACGACTTGTCAACTCGTAAGTACGAACGTCCCAGGATGACTTGAACGCAGCATTACACCAGTTTGTAACAGAAAGTTACAAACTACCCACCTGAGTGAAGTTGACTTTTTTTGTAATGTCTGATGATAATTATGATGAGGAAACATTTGCCCCTAGTTCATCATGTGATCAATGAATATACAATAAAAATGTACATAAAATAAGCTAAAGCCATAGCAACTGCCTGAATATTCATTGTGTTTTTGGCAGAAGGAGGAACTTTGGTGTGAATTATGAGCACAGCTGGAAACAAGAACTGGACTGGAAATGTATGACAGTCTGTCTCCAGTGAATTCTACTCTGATGGCTTCTGTACACCTCGTGCATTTAGCTTGCAGGAAGTTAAAGACCAGACGTGCTTTTGTTCCAAAAGCGCAACAGCACTATACAGTGTATGTGTGCTTAGATGACATTGGGTGATCACTGTAACAGCCTTCTAGAAATGATTCAAAACTCTATCTGCAGAGCTTGTAAAGAATGGAAGTAATATTTTGCCAATTATTTTTTGGTGTTTTAACTCTAATATGAGTCATAAGTCATGACCACACAAAGACATATTTACATTTTTACCCTACATAGGAAAAGCGGTTTGGAGAATGGATAGATGGATGGGTTAAAAATGCAAAAACGCCCCTGTTAGTAGGTAACTAACTTTTAAGGGAAATCTGGTGTTTCAGTTAAAAACAGTTAAATAAATAAATAGCTCTATTTGTCATTTTATTTTTGTTGTTTATTTGAAATATGTTATTAAAACCTAGGCTTAGCCAACAGTCTTGGGTATTTTGGTCTTTCTCCATTCAAGTAAATAGGAGCTGTACTTGCATGCCAAAATTAATGCAGCAGTGCTAGTGTAATGTATGGTGTATTAATGTTCTTTTTGCCATTTGACGTGTGGAATTGGTCTTGTCCCTCCCTGGTCACTTAATTGTCACCAATACAAATACCAACCAATACAATGAATTTTTTCTCATCTGCATCATAGTGCGTGAATATATTTAGACACTGACATTATGTCATTGTGAAAGTGTTGGTCTCATGTAGTAACTTATTTTTCTATGGCCAGATGCATCTAAGAAAGACATCCCCGAGGACTTTGACATTGACATGGGCGCCCCTGAAACCGAGAAGGCAGCCGTCGCCATTCAATCGCAGTTCAGGAAGTTCCAGAAGAAGAAGAATGATGACAAGTCGTAGTTGCCAGTGGACTCCTCTGTCCGTATGGCCCCATCAGGACAGCATGGTTTGATGTTGCATGTAATAAAATCCATTCTGTATAGTCTCAAGGGAGGGGGAGGGGAAATCAAGGTCGTAATCTGTCAATCACTGATCTGACCTGTTATTTCACTGCTGTAATTGTGAATTCTGTAGTTTGGTTCTAGCTTTATTCTCCATTCTAGTCAAGAATATCTGTTATACTATTGGTGCATGATTTTCTTTTTACCTCAAAGAGCTGGATTGCCGGCCTGTCCTTTATTTGTGAAAGCACAATATGTTTTCATTGTGAGCTGCTTACCGTGAGCATCACGTGTATATAAATATAGAGCAGAACTTTATTTTTGTTTCGCGCCATTAGTCCTCAGGTCATGAAATGCTTTAGCATACATTCTCATCCCAGTGGAGTTTTAAAAATAGCTTGTCTTTTGAATAATTCCCAGCTTATCTTCCCAAATCCCCACCGTGTGCTCAGTTCTCTTTATTGATTCATGATGTTGAATTCAATGCTGGATGAAATTACTTGAGAGCGAGTGTTTGATTGTCTAGTTTGCTGTGGCATATCATAACATTTCTGTTTATCAGAATTTTCTTCCTTTGCAAAGGATCATGGCACAATCATCGGCCAAATCAAACAATCAGTGATTTCTATCTCACCTCAACTCAGTCTGATTGAAGCAAGAAAATATTAATAAACATCCTTGAGTCTCTGGAACTAAATACTGCATTGTCTTTTAATTAAAACTCAATCTTAAAGCAGGATCCTGTTTTTGAATAAATGAAATAATATGATAAACAATCAACATGAAGTTTAAAATAAAAGACACATGAAAATGACAAAGTACATTTCAGTGTTACCTTATAAAAGGGATAGTTCACCCAAAAAAAAAAAAATCACCCTGATCTTCAATTCCAAAGCACAAAAGAAAATATCATGATTAACCTAAGACATTTTTGACATTTTTCAAAACGTCTTGTTTTTTTTAATGAAGAAAGAAAATCATACATGTTTGGAACAACACAAAGGTAAGTAAATGATGACAGAACTGTCTTTTTTTGGGGGGGATCAAATGTCACACAGATATATTAAAAATATCTGTGTGACATTTGGATTATTCTCAGGTAGCGGTGCCAGTTGCACCCCATTTGTGTCTCTGTGACAAATTATTGATATAATCAACATGATATGGATGTTAGTGACATTATTTGATAGATATACGTTTTTGATGGGTTTATTAGCAATAGTATCCTCTTTATTAGTATTTCATTGTTTATACATATATTGGCCTCGTCTAGCTCAGCTTTTAAACTCCCTTTACCACATTTAAAATAGCTGTTTCACAGTATTTGTAATATTCGTGTATATGTGTAATCAGCAAATTCCCAATAAACCAAGACACATTTCCCCCTGCTGTTCTCTTGTGTAAATAATGAATATATCAGCTCTTGCCATTTATTATGCTGCATAGATTTTAATCAGTCATTATCACTCATTAATGAGACTTTTACCAAAAAAAAATATATATATATATATATATATATATATATGGTGTAGGAGATACTTTGATAATGTTTTCACTTTGTAATTGTTAGTAAATTTCACAATTACAAAGAAACTAATTAGAATTAAAGGGTTAGTTCATCCAAAAATGAAATTTATGTATATGACTTTCTTCTTTCAGACGAATCCAGTAGGAGTTATATAAAAAATATGTCCTGCCTCATACAAGCGTTATCATTGTAGTAGGTGGGTGTTTCTGTTCAACAGTCCAAAAGACGTAAAATAAAGCGCGCACATCCCTAATAAAATGTGCCTCACATGGCTTGAATAAAGGCCTCCTGTAGCGAATCCATGCGTTTTTGTAAGAAATATATCCATATTTCAAACGTAATAAACACTTCTCTCTCACTTCATCTAACAGTGTTACGAGGAAGTCGTTCCGGCGGATGGCGTAG